TAAACAAACCGAACGGCTGAAACTATAAACAAACCAAATGGCTGAAACTTTATTTAGAACCGTAGGTTCAGTGTTAAACAAACTTTGTCATTTATGGGTTGAGCTATTTAAAGGCAATAAGACACAGATCTAGTTGTTATTTGTGAAGAAGACAAAAACTTTTGTCATTTTTGGGTTGGGAGTTTCTAATTTTTGGCTGGTATAGGCTCTCGTTTTTGAGGGTTTCTACTTTCCCCACATGTTAGAAATGAACTTTCCCTCTTTCTTTATCCTATATAATTAATTCACCACATAAAAATTGGGCCTACATTATGGCAGCTTGAATGCTTGATGAAGAAGACAAATTTCTTAACAAATTTAGCTATCTTCATTTGAATGTTGATACAAATTTAGTTGTGTGTGTTGTGTGCGTTGGGGGTGATATTAGTTTAACTCTATTTTTTTGTATTAAACAGATAGATTTTCTGAACACAATATTATAATTTCTAATGAAGAAGATCAGGTCAGGCATGAATCTAATGTAGTTGCAGCTCCAACAACACAGACATCAACTAGTCCAACTACAGAAAAAGGTAAATTTAATCGTAAGTGACAAAATACTTCAAAATTATGGAAATACTTTATAGAGTTAAATTAAAAATATCCAGATGGCAAGAAGCGTGTTGCATGTAATATGTGTGGTATCAAATATAAATGTGAGTCTAGTCATGGAACTGGTAACATGCATACTCACATGGAAAAATGTGTGAAAAAAGGCATCGCGGATATTGGAAAATTACTTCTAAGTCAAGGTCAAGGTTCTATGCTAATGCGATCCACAAAATTTGATCTAGAAAAGTTTCGCGGCTTAGCAGTTGAGGCGTTACTTAAGCATGATTTGGCATTTTGATTTGTCCAATATGAGGGTATTAGAGCAATGTTCAAGTATGCTTATGAGAATATCAAGATGCCTTCTAGGAATACTACAAAGTCAGATGTGTTAAAAATGTATAAGAGAGAAAAGGATAAAATTAAAATTGTATTGGGTTCCCTTCCTGAAAGAATTTGTTTGACATCTAATTTGTGGACTTCTATATCGATTGATGGATATGTTTCTCTCACAGCCATTATGTTGATCTACATTGGAAGTTGTAGAAATTTTTTTTAAACTTTTGTCTCATGCCCCTTCCCCACACTGGTATTGCCTTGTTTGAGAAAATTTATACATTTTTGACTGATTGGAGAATTGAAAGAAAATTATTTTCTTTGACTTTGGATAATGCTTCTAGTAATGATTGTTTTGTTGAGTTATTGAAGGTTCAACTTAACCTTAAAAATGCTCTCTTGAGGGATGGTGAGTTCTTCCATGTTCAGTGTTGTGCACATATTCTTAATTTGATAGTCCAAGATGGACTTAAAGAAATTGATGAATCAATGATAAAAATTCGAGAAAACATCAAATATGTTAAAGATTCGTCACGAAGGAAAAAGAAGTTCATGGATTGTGTTGCTCAAGTTTCATTAGAGAGTAAAAAAGGTTTGCGAGGAGATGATCTAACTAAGTGAAACTCAACTTATATTATGCTTGACAGTACACTTTTTTATCGTCGTGCATTTATTCCTTTACAGTTGAGTGATTCTAATTATAAACATTGTCCTTCCCAAGAAGAATGGAGCAAAGTAGAGAAGATTTCTAATTTGTTGAGGGTGTTTCATAAAGTTATTTGCTTATTCTCTGATACAACATATCCCACAGCTAATTTGTACTTCTCCCAAGTGTTCCTAATTCAACATACTTTGAAGGAGACATTGACAGATAATAATAGTTTTATGAGGATAATGGGAAGTCCCTATTGTCAGAAACTGTCCAAACTTTGATTTGTACTAGAGATTGGATTTATGGGCAGAGCAATAAGTTTGATTCCATTTTACTAGTATTATTTTTCTCATTATCCTAATTCATGTAATCATTAATTCGTTTATGTTTTGTTGTGCTTAGTTGTAGATGATTCTAGTGATGATTCAGAAGGGGAAATAAATGATGATGCTTTCAATCAAGATATGAAGTCCAATAAAGTTATATCCGCTCAATGTTTTACTTCTATATCTATCATTGATCATGACTAAAGAGAGGTAATGTCAAGTTTATGTTACTTATCTAGTTATGAGTCTATTTAAATTTTAATGTTATATAATATTTTATTTTAATTTGTGTAGGGCATAGGAAGTGGTTGTTGAATTTGCTTATGGTTGTTGAATTTGCTCGATGTCAGGTGGATGTGGAGATTTGATCTCTTTCACGGGATTTTGTGAATCATGAAATTTGTGGTTGTTTGGGATTGTGGTTTTGTAATATGATTGTTATTTAGTGTAATTGTATTATTTTGGATTGTATTTATGATTTGTAATATGGTTGTTGGTGGAATTTGATTACTTTGGATTGTAGTTTGTACTTGATAATATGTTATGGTATCTCTAAATATCACATTTAGTTGTGTTAGTTTGTTAGTTTTATAAAGTTATATAGCATTTTTAAATAAACAGGTAAATGGGTCAAATAGGTGGTTTACCGTGTTAAATTGGTCAAACGTGTGGTAAATAGGTACATGGATCATATGAGTGGTTTACCGTGTTAATCCGACCCAACCCCAACCCAACCCAACCCGACTCTTTTAAAATTAGACGTGTTAAATGAGTTGTGTCATGTTACTCGTTTATTAAACGGTTCGTGTTTCAATTTTTTACCCGTTTATTAAACGTGTCATGTACGGTATGTTTTTCATCCATCACCCGTTTAACCCGACATGTAACCGTTTAACCCGACACGTTTGACACCCCTATCTGGTCATCGTTAATCCCGTAGATTTGGAGGAGTTGGAAGCTCATCTTCATTACGAGAAGAAGACCATTTCCGAGCAACTTTCTACAGTTGGCCGTTCTTTCTTCTATGGCTGAAGCTGCCGGCATCATCGGTGGTGTTGTTCACGTGGTCTTGCAGCACGAGCGAAAGAAAGCAAGCCTGTTGTTTTTGGAGCGCTATCGCTGGAGTGATAAGAACGAGGACCTTCATTCGCTGATTGACAAGATTTGAAACTTGGAAAAGCTCATCAAAAATGGATGATAAGGAGACCACGGAAGGGGCTTAGAAAAAGAAGATGAAAGAAAAGGAGGAGTTGGAGAAGGAGAAGAAGAAGAAGGAGCACACAGACTTGGACTCGGGACTTGGACTCAAGCGAGTGAGATTGATGGGTAAGAGTTCTTTTTTTTTTTAACCTAAACTGAGTTTTGTTTACTTTTTCCATGTGTTGCCGACATTTAATTGCCGATGTTTGAATAAATTCCAATAAACACCGATGTTACCCAAGTTTAGTGAATGATCGTTAAAATAATTTCAAAACCATGTCACTTCGTCACCGTCACACACCACTCTTGCTCTGACACACACAAATACTCTCTCACGCGCAATCATGGCTGTGAGCTTTCAGATTACTACCTGGTCTAAGAGCTCTCAAACAACCTCTCGAAATCGTTTGGATCGTCGTTGCAGTGAAGAAGACCAGCAAGAGTTTTGATAAAATCACTAAGATTGCAACCTCAAATCAAATATTCGATGCCTCAGTGTCAAGCTCCAACATTGTAATGTTGACCGTACACGATCATCAATTTCACAAAATAGACAAATTAACTAGAAACTTCGACTAGAAATTTAGTGTTGCTGAGTTCGAATTTATGTTCTTTCTCTCTCTCTCTGTGTTGTACGTCTGGCACTCGAATTTTTGCTCTTCTTGAAGCTATGTCTCAGCGGACAGGAATTAGATGGTTGAATCATTGGTTTGAGACTGGAAGAAGCATTGAACCTAATTTTTCTGTTATCATTCCTTTCTGGGCTTCTCTCTCTCTCTCTCTCTTTGTCTTCTCTATCTCATTTCTACTAGGTTTTGGTCTAATAAGATTGAGGTCTAAAGTACATTTTACACTCACTATGCACACAAATGAAATTTTAGTTATTATTCATCTATAGTGTGTTGATTTAGTTGTAGTGGAGGTTGCTGAATTTACATAATTATTCCATGTTTGAATTTTTATGAGGTAAAAGACGAAGTACAATGGATATTATTTGGTAAAAATTTGGACATTGATGTTCTTAGAATATTGAAATATTAATTTATATTGTTGTTTTCTACTTGTTGCATCCAGACGTGCGTTTCCAACCATCTAGGCACGTGTAAGTTTTTTGGCCAAATTTTAAGTGTAATTTTGATATAGTTTAAAGCAGATTTACGAAATTTTCATGAAAGAAACCTTTGAAGCTCTTTAAGTCTATTTTTCAATACCACAAAGATCAAGTCAATCAAAAATTGGTGTAAAAAGTTATGACTAAAATACTGAAGGACCAAAGTATAGTTAAAATTTTTCTTTCCCGAATTCTCACCATTGCGTGATAAAATTATTTTTTTGTTTGCCTAAATTTTATTTATTTTATTGCTATGTGTAGATACAAAAGTTCATTTGTCATTTATTTGTTTTATAACTATGGATTAATGTTGTCAATGGATCGAATTTTGATATATCCTAACTTGAATCGGATAAAAAATTTGTGCTTTAAATCCGATCCATTTATTCAACGGATCGTATTATATTGAATTCAAAAGATTAAGACCGGATTAATTGAACTATAATATGTTATAAGATCTAATTTGGGGACCTAACAGTTTCACTTTAGTACACATCTATAATTAATAATTTTAACTATTAAATAGAGTTCACTTTTAATTTATTAACTGTGTTAATTTAAAATTTTAAATTAAGTCGAAATAACTAAATCATAATCATTATTGAAGATATTAATTATCAAACTCTCTATAACCTTTCGCCACAGTATTTAAAGAGGACATCAACGATGTACTAGAATATTCTTTTTATCATCTTCAACCTTTTCTTTTCTTTTTTCTTTTTCTATTTCTTTTAGCCTAACCAGGGTTTTTTTTGCATGATTTCCTAAACTATTCACACGTCCTTCAATGACACTCCTTAAAGGTGGTGTCGCCGCCTTTCGTATCTTCAATAAGAAAAATGCAACTACTCAAAAGCTAAAATTGAGGATTGACACCACAGGTATTCGTTGCTGGGGAGAAGCTCTGGTCATCGTTAATCCAGTAGATTTGGAGGAGCTAGAAGCTCGTCTTCATGGTGAGAAGAAGACCATTTTCGAGCGACTTTCCAGAGCTAGCCGTCCTTTCTTCTATGGCTGATGCTGCTAGCATCATCGGTGGTTCTGTTCATGCAATCTCGCAGCACGAGCGAAAGAAAGTAGGCCAGTTGTTTTTGGAGTGCTATCGCTGGAGTGATAAGAACGAGGACCTTCATCTGTTGATTGACAAGATTTTAAACTTGGAAAAGCTCATCGAAAATGGATGATAAGGAGACCATGGAAGGTGCTGAGAAGGAGAAGATAAAAGAAAAATAGGAGTTGGAGAAGGAGAAGAAAAAGGACACAGACTCAGACTCGAGCGATCGAGGTTGATGGGTATGAGTTCTCTTTTTTTTTGTTTTTACCTAAACTGAGTTTTGTTTACTTTTTTCATGTGTTGTCAACATTTAATTGCCGACATTTATTAAATTTCGGTAAAGACCGACATTACCCAAGTTTAGTAAATGATCATCAAAATAATTTCAAAACCATGTCACTTCGTCACCGTCACACACCACTCTTGCTCTGACACACACAAACATACTCTCTCGTGCGCAATCATGGCTGTGAGCTTTCAGATTACTGCCTGGTCTGAGAGCTCTCAAAAAAGCTCTCGAAATCGTTCGGATCGTCGCTGTAAGGAAGAAGACAAGCAAGAGTTTTGATAAAATTGCTAAGATTGCGACCTCAAATCTAATATTCGATGCCTCAATGTCAAGCTCCAACATTGTAATGTTGAACATACACGATCGTCAATTTCACAAAATAGACAAATTAACCAGAAACTTTGACTAGAAATATAGTGTTGCTGAGTTCAAATTTTTGTTCTCTCTCTCTCTGTTGTATCTCTGGCGCTCGAATTTCTGTTGTTCTTGATGCTATGTCTCAACGGACAGGAATTAGAAGGTTGAATCATTGGTTTGAGCTTGGAAGAACCATTGAACCTAATTTTTCTGTTATCATTCCTTTCTGGCCTTTTCTTTCTCTCTCTCTCTCTTTCTCTCTCTCTCTCTCGTGTCTACTAGGGTTGGGTCTAATAAGATTGAGGTCTAAAGTACATTTTACACTCACTATGCACACAAATGAAATTCCAGTTATTATTCATCTATAGTATGTTGATTTAGTTGTAGTGGAGGTTGCTAAAGTTACTTAGTTATTCCATGTATAAATTTTTATGAGGTAAAAGACGAAGTGTAGTGGATATTATTTGGTAAAAATTTGGATACTGATGCTCTTAGAATATTGAAATACTAATCTATATTATTGTTTTCTACTTGTTGCGTCCAGATGTGCGTTTCCAACCATCTGGACACATGTAAGTTTTTTGGCCAAACTTTTAATGTAATTTTAATATATTTTAAGGCAGATTCACGAAATTTTCATGAAAGAAACTTTTGAAACTCTTTAAGTCTACTTTTCAATGCCACAAAGATCAAGTTAATCAAACATTGGAGCAAAAAGTTATGATTAAAATACTGAAAGACTGAAGTAGAGTCAAAAAATTTCCTTCTCGAATTCTCACCATTGTGTGTTAATTTTTTTTTGTTTGTCTAAATTTTATTTATTTTATTGCTATGTATAGATACAAAAGTTCATTTCTCATTTATTTGTTTTATCATTTTGGATTAATGTTGTCAATGGATCAAAATTTGATATGTCCTAATCTAAATCTGATAAAATATTTGTGCTCTAAATCCGATCCATTTATTCAATGGACTGTATTATATTGAATTCAAAAAATTAAGACCATTTTAGTTGAACTATAATATGTTATAACACCTAACTTGGAGACCTAACAAGTTCACTTTAGTACACAACTATAATTAATAATTTTAATAATTAAATACAGTTCACTTTTAATTCATTAACTATATTATTTTAAAATTTTAAATTAAGTCTAAATAACTAAATCACAATCATTATCAAAGATATTAATTATCAAAACTTTCTATAACCTTTTGACAGATGATTAACATACTTTGGACACTGTAACGCCCAAAAATTCACCTTGAAAGACATTATTATCTAAAATTCATCCAATCATGAGATCAACTACTAATAACCATTAAATAATAAATAATTCATCTATCTAATAAAGAATAAATACTAAAGCCTATAAAATATTGAAACTTCTCCAACTTACAATTCAAAACCAAGAATATCTAGCAGTGGAATAATAAAAACTAGCTAAAACATTGTTTCATAAAAATCTCTCAAACTCTAAATCAAAAATAGATCAACTTTATTCTTCTAGGGTAGGATCCACATCTTGATCCTCAAATGGCTCGTAATCAGTCTGCTATTCCACATTGACATCCTCTTCTATGCCAAAATCTGTAAGTGGAGTTGTAGGGGGGGTGAACAAAAGTCCGTAGGAAATCCCTTTCAAATCCCAACAAGGTTTAAAACAATAAATATGACAAGTCTCTTTTGGAAAATAGCATATAAAAATTTTTGAGAATAAAACCATGGTAGTTGTAATGATCTCAAGTGTACAGAATACAGTAAATCAATGACATGAATAAACTTGCAAGAAATTTAAGCAATCAATAAGTAACTTAGTAACATCATTCAATATTCTCATGTATGTTGGTTCATCCCCATTTGTCATGTATGTTGGTTGCTTCTCAGGAATCTACACAACGATTCTACCTCGTTCACCCATCATAACCACGCAATCTCAATCATTCCCTGCAGAGCCAAATCACAAACACTTTAGGAAGGTCATATACCAAATAATAGTGGTTTCTCTCACAAACAATAATCCACTACGAGTGTTAGGTAATCATCTCACCCCATTAGGATAAACTAACCTCTAACACTCTACGGTAGTTCTCAAAGGCAATTCAAGTCCATCACAACAAATCATACAAGAGATGAAATCACAATATTCTAAACAACCACAATCTTAACCAATCACAATTTTCATTAGCAATTTAAGTATCACAATTTCACAATTCTCAATATACTACAGTAATAAAGGAATTAAAATATGCAAGAGATCATATCAATAAAACCTTCACAATTTCGATATTAAAATTCTAGGGTTTTGCCAAAAATCATAATTTCTTGGAACAAGAATAAGTATTAGATGAAAACATGATTTAATTAAGAATAGAAATTTATAAATCAAGAATCTATGTATTTTTCACAATCAAACATGTTTGTAGAAAACTAGGGTTTTGAAAATTCAAGAACATTGTTTCTTGAACCCAAACATGTATTTTGTTCAAGATTATGTTCCAATGATAAAGAAACCAAGAACTCATACATATTTATTATATAATTATCAAGAAGATTGAAAACATACATAGATAATTCCCTAAGTCTCAATGAAAGAACTCAAGAAGAATCTCTTACCTTGATTCCGTAGTTTGTGTGTAAACCTAGAGTGTTTGATTCGTTTCCAACGTGAGAATCCCCCTTCAATCTTATGTTTCTCTTCTTCCCTCTTGCTCTCTAAGGTTGCTTAGGGTTGAAAACAGATGAAGCATGGTTAAAGGGACGCCCTTATGGTATTTATAAGGTGAAAAATAGAGAAAAACACTAAAACTAATCGTGGCCATTTTTAGGATAGCATCGGAACGGTCCTTGGGCATCCAGATGGTTCAAACTCACTGTTTTTGATGAAAAATAAAGTTTTTGGGTAAGGAGTACCATTCGAACGGTTCTTGGAGTGTCCGGACGGTGGCAACTTTCTGTCCCAACTTCAGAAGCCGTTTTCACCTATTTAGAAGTCGATTCAAGAAATTTTCATGAAATACACTTTTGTATCCCTTGAAGTCTAGTTTCTACTATCCAAAAGTTAGCTGCATCGCAGCTCATATTAAAAATTTATGGCTTAAAATACTAAGGTAGTGTCAAATTCCTTCCTACCCGAATTCTTTCTAAAATGTGATTTTACTCCGAAATACTTTATAACTTCTAATACACCTCATATTACCTCTTTCAAAGTTTTTTGACCTTCCAGATTCAATGGAGGCATTATTTTGACCTAAAATTATTTAGAAACCTACCTAATCACTATTCTCAAGTTTAAACACATTCAAAACTAAGTTTGACCCGAAAAGTCAATTCCTCTGAAACTCAAACTTCATGATCAATCTTTTAACAATGATTTGGGGTTTCTACAATAATTTTATTCATTCTAAGAGAAATATTAATATGATATTATTCTTATTTAATTCTAGTACAGGGTCTTACAGACACAATATTTAAAGAGGACACCAGTGATGTACTAGAATATTCTTTTTGCCGTCTTCAACCTTTCCTTTTCTTTTTCTTTTTCCTTTTAACCTAATCAGTATTTTTTTGCATGATTTTGTAATCTATCTACACGTCCTTCAATGACACTCCTTAAAGGTGGTATCGCCGCCTTTCGTATCTTCAATAAGAAAAATGAAACTGCACAAAAGCTAAAATTGAGGATTCACGCCATGATTATTCGTCGTCGGGGAGAAGCTTTGGTCATCGTTAATCCTGTAGATTTGGAGGCGCTAGAAGCTTGTCTTCATGGCGAAAAGAAGATCGTTTTCAAGCAGCTTTTCAGAGCTAGCCATCCTTTCTTCTACAGCTGAAGCTGTCGGCATCATCGGTGGTGCTGTTCATGTGGTCTTGCAACACGGGCCAAAGAAAGCATGCCTGTTATTTTTGGAGCGCTAACGCTGGAGTGATAAGAACGAGGACCTTCATCCGCTGATTGACAAGATTTTAAACTTGAAAAAACTCATCGAAAATAGATGATAAGCAAACCAAGGAAGGTGTTGAGAAGGAGAAGATGAAAGAAAAAGAAGAGTTAGAGAACAAGAAGAAGAAGGACATGGTCTCAGACTTGGACTCGAGCGATTGAGATTGATGGGTATGAGTTCTCTCTTTCTTTCTTTTCTTACTAAATTGAGTTATGTTTACTTTTTTCATGTGTTGCCAGCATTTAATTGCCGATGTTTGAATAAATGCCGATAAAGATTGACATTACCCACATTTAGTAAATGATCTTTAAAATAATTTCAAAATCGTGTCACTTTGTCACTGTCACACACCGCTCTTGCTCTAACACACACACATACTCTCTCATGTGTAGTCATGGCTGTGGGCTTTCATATTATTGCCTGGTCTGAGAGCTCTCAAACAACCTCTTGACTGTTATAGTTCGGATCGTCGCTGCAGGGAAGTAAACCAGCAAGAGTTTTAATAAAATCATTAAGATTGCGACCTCAAATCAAATATT